AGTATGGCAGCTTCATTAAAAAGACTGAAACTAGGCTTACAAACAGAACCCTGGAAAATTTTTAAGATCATTTTGGTCAACCTTGTACTTTAACATACTTTCTGATTGACCTAACAGATTCTCTCTGGGTAAGAACTTTTACAGTAGTTATAAAGACTTTTGAATAATGCTGGTCAGTAATCTTCTATTTTGTTCCTTTTTGGGTCAAGTTCTGCCAAGATCAGAGCAATAACTAAGTTTTAGACAAAAATTACAACTTACTGAAATCTTTTGTCCATTTGGCATAATATTCAGTTGAGATGGGTTTGTAAGGAAATTATTTTTTACTAAGTAGTCAAGACTGAACCGATTTAGACAAACACAGGCTTTAGACTTGAACTGGAATAGACTTGAATTGCAAATTAATAAAGCCATTCACAACCATTAGCTGGACCAAAACAGACCTGATTGAGTCTTAGAGATTTGGTCCAAAACCAGGAAATCACATAACTGTTATACACAACCTTCTGATCAAACCACTCCCTCTGGGGCAAAGGATGACACTGATAAAGAAGGACCTTCCTGCCAAGAAGTTCATTCTTAAACACAAGTTCTGCAATCTGATGAAAAAACTTTCTGTTGTTTAGTGTGAAGTAATGTTTTAAGAAATGTGTCTATTAAGAAGTACAGCCAGTACTGAGATGACCTGACATGAGTCACTCAAAGCAGTGTGCACTCTACTATTTAATCAAAGCTTAATAAGAAATATATAATAACACAATTGATTAATGACGCAAAACCGTCTTCTGTACTTTTCCTTCAAGTTTAGTGTAGTCCAATATTGTTGTGTTGCAAATAAAATGAAAATACATTCCATAAAGCAAACAGACTGCTTTTTACCAGTCCCTCACAAGTATCTCATTCACTTCAAACTTTCTTTCTTCTGCTAATTTTTATAACAAGTAGCAAAACAACAAATATTGTAGTTTATCATAGTAAGCCTTGAGCATCCTTTCAGGGCTGCAGGCAGTAATGTTTACTCCTTCGTTTATGTAGATCAGTATGAACTAAACACATCAGTCAAAAAATGCATCATGTCGAGTAAAAAAATCACATATGCATCACTCTGAACTATAAGTTGCAGTACTAGCTAAACTATGGAAAAAAAAAAAAGAAACTTATAGCCCAGAAAATATGACAGATCTTTGTTACTGTTTATTTAACCTCAGTTTTTCCCTTCAAAATGCACATGGACACAGTTAAATAGATCCCAGTTTTTAGTCATGTAAAACCTACACCTCCCTCCTCCTAGCACACTAGTGGTGTGTAATAGATTTTTATTTCTTGAAAGAATATGACTCAAGCATGTATGAGTGACCAGAATTGGCTTTTCTGAAACTCAAAATGATGTCTTTATTTACTTTAGTATTTCCTCTGTGATGACTGGTAGGGTGTGCATGTATATTTTTTTGGTATAGTGATGATTTTTAATTGTTGACAGGGGTATTTGTGTACACTTAAAGGGAGTTTGTTTTGTGCTTCCTGACATGATGTATGATGGTACTTAGGCAGACATGGGTGTATGAAGAGAGATGAGTACGATTTAGCCCTAAGACATTATCACCAGTGGAATGGAAATCTTGCTTACCAAGTGAATTTGTTAGCACAATTTGCATTTTGTTATCATAATAGCACATACAAGGACATAAACTATCCTTAGAGTAATATTTATGTTTTCTGGACAACTGGACCTCCTGGCGGAGATCAGTAGCCATTGAGCTCTGGCACATACTGTACGTCTGAATCTCAGGCAGACCTGAAAAGGAAATGGCTTCGTAATGCACTTTGACGAACAGAATTCCAAAAATCACACACTGTTCTAAAACAAATTTCTATTGACATTATACTGCCATCAGTGCAGCACACTCTGCACTTTACTCTGTGAAAAAACAGTCCATGAAACTAAATCTGTCCTGTCAAATTCAGTTTTGCCTTCATTTACTTTGCAGGTGTTTTGTAAAAAAGAAAAAACAGTCATGTAAAAGCACAGAGAATATAGATAACGAGGAATACTCAAGGAATAGGTTAATTGGAAAACCTCAAACTTCCAATTGTGAGTGCTTATTATGACAAATAGTCTATTTTATTGTCCCCTATTTCCAAATGCACCTGGCTGCTGAGCGTGAGAAAACACAGTGGTCTGGACCTGCAGTCTGCTTTCCTTTAATTCATACACATGACCATACATCTGTACTCTTAGTCTCTCATCTGCATTCATGCATGTGCTAAACACACAAACTGTACACAAGTTTGACATGGATTTCCCCAGCAACTCTGAATGCAGAAAAAAAACCTTGAATATTACCTGCTGCTTTTATTGCCAAAAGTTTAAACTAGGATCACATCTGAGAAATCACAGCATTGTAGCAGTTTTGGGCAAACCTCAAGAATAATTGTAAGCACAGTTGTATGAAATATTGTGAGAGGTCATATCAGACAACATAGCTGAAGTCAGAGATAGTAGCATATTTTTATTGTTTTATGTGAATTTATGTTTTTTAAATAAATGAATAAATAAATACATAAATAAAAATAAAGATCTTTTGCAAAGAGTAGCACTTAGGATGTGCTGTGTATGACTCTCAGAAGCTATGTTTACATGCACAAAATTCTTTGATCGGATTGAAATGTATTCAAATTAAATAATCTGAATCTGTCATTTACATGGGCACAATCCGATCATGACGAGCGTATACATGCACCGGTCTTTTATTCAGAATAGAAGCACTGACATGCACAGAGTTGTCAACTTTCCCTTAAAAAATGCAGAAGAAGAAGTTCTACTTTGGTGATAAACATAAACGTCTTCTGAGCACCCAGAATGGACCCACAACAGGTTTGAATTAAAGTGAAGACATTTCTACACTCCCTGGCTGAGCTACAGGTGATGCACAGATTTTTAATTTTCTTTTGGGCAAAGGAGCGCATGTTGTTTATCGTCCTTATTGAATGAGAAAATGGCAGGAAAAGTTCTGTGCCACTGTAAACTATAGCTCTGCTGTCCCTCCCACCACAAAAGAGCAGAAATCGATGGATAAAAGTCAGACATGCGCAGTCAGGTTAGTTTTCCACAATCAGAACAAGATGATCAGATTAAGTGTTTACATGCACGCTGTTGGGATTATCAGTCAGCATAAACCACCTCTCTCATTCAGATTACAAATTCATTCTGAACGAGCAGAATCGGATCAGAATAATCCGAATGGTGTGTTTACATGATGCATTTAATCCGATCACTTATATCCAAGTAAACTTAGCTACATACAACCACACCATATTTTAACACATTATCTGAAAAATTAACTAGATTAAAGCAGTTTTCCTGTTTTCTAAAGTATTTTGTGACCATCTTGACGTAGGTTTGTTCCCAAGGTTCATGTTGCAGATAAACACCCACTCATAATTTCCTAAATGTTTCATTACAGTCTGTTTATAAATTCAGGGAAAATTTTCATGAATTTATAAACAAATGGATAAACAATTGACATCAAATGCTTTATGACAAATTTTAAACAAAGATCTTGTTCATTCTGTCAGCACTGAGAAAGTGTGTCGATTCCAAATCTTAAACATTTTATGGATGAAGGTGTAGCTTTTTATTTTAGTTGGGGGGTATTGTGTATTTTCCAGGCACATACCACAACCACTGTTGTGTTGTGTTTCTGACATTCCCACTTCAGCACATCTTCACAACAATGCTTCAGGGGAGGGGTGCTCTGTGGGGCAGGAGCTCAGCTGCAGACTGAGCTCCAGGGAGGAGCTTTGTACAAATAGGCGGAGCTTTGTACCAGCAAGTGTTTAGGCAGCTCCACATGACTACAGGAGATTCATGGATTTCTCAAACATGCATGAATGAGTCAAAGCAACACTCTGGGTATGTTTTGGATGAGGGAAAGACATGATAACACGATATAAAGCTCTAAAAAGTAGATTTTGCATAATACTCCCCTTTAATGATTACATTCTGCAAGTTTCTTTAAAACTGGCGCAGTGGTTCATAAGGTATTTGGGTAACAGACAGACAGGCAAAAGCATTAAGGTATTGTCTTTGCCTTTTTGGCTGTGCAAAGTAATTAATCACTCTTTTCCTTTTGTCCTAGCAACCTGTCCTAACACCCCAGTGTTGCTGTTCCAGTCCATTTGATATTATCTTGGAGCGTGGAGTCAGAGGAGGCTGTAACTGTTTAACGTTATTGTGATTTCATTACAACTGCATGATGGAGCTGCTGAGCAGGACAGAACAGAGAATGGCTTTAACATTCTCAGACCTCAGGTTAACTAGTTTATGTACATTTCCTACACTCGTTATCATCCTGCCCTTCTGAGAGCTGTCTGTGAAACACTGGAGGCATGTTTTGACCCCCGGTTTCATATAGTTCATTTATAAATGAACTGTGTATGTTTGTTGCTGTGTGATCTCTGTTGCCATGAGTGTCAGCACAGACAATCAGCCTTCGTCTGGACCACAGCAGGCACAAGGACAGATCATGTCTAGAGCGGTATGTGTGTGCACATGCACACACTTTCTCCCAGTTCTCACAGTTCCCTCTTCCACTATAGAGAGACAAGAAACCTGAGTGCCACTGCCAACATTACATCACCTCGATGAAGTGTCGTTTAAACATCATATAACAGGATACTGTACAGCAAATGAAAATAACAGGGAGCTTTGAAGAGGGTTAAATAAAGGATAAAGGCAGGACAGTACATTTCCTTATGTTAATATAATATTGATTTTGTTTAAGACTTTACAGGGTGCTACATTATTTCTGTGGTGAAGAGGTTTCTTTAGCAGTAGGCTAAATATTTCAACAAATCTGACATCAGTGCTGGGACCATGCAGTGGTCCATGCTCAAAAGTTTGACTTCTGAAAGGAAGTTTGAATCCAAGTTTCTCTGAGTCCTTATTGGTTTTGTTTTTTTTCCCTCCCTTTTCTTTCTTTCTTTCTTTTTTCTTACAGAATCACGTCCCCTGTCCGTTTTAATGAAGGTGATGCCTGACACGCCTGCAGAGGAGCCATGGGCTTCCTCAGAGGAGCGAATGAAGGATCTCTTCACTCATGCTTGGGATGCTGTGAAACGACTTACTCTACAGGTACTGATCTTTACTCTGAACTCTATTTATTTTTCTATGGCAGTCATTTTAGTTCGCAGTTCTTCAGTTTCAACATAAATCAGAGAACCAAAAGGTTTGACAGTATTTCTTAGTAGAGTGGCCCAGTGGTTAAACCTTGTACGATAAAATAACAAATCAAACAACGGTCAAAAAAAAAATTATATATATATATATATATATATATATATAATCCTGGTTAAAGCAACTGCACACAACCTCAATTCTCAATCAGGTTTATAATGGATATGCTTATAAATCATCCTCTTTCACATGTAAATCCTTTAGTTGGGGTCTATATAAAGTGGAACTCCAAGCTTTGGTCTGAATTCCTCCTTAYTGTAACTCCACAAGCCCCTCTTTCACCCCTTTTCTGAGGTGTGTCTCAGATCAACTCGTCTTGAGGCTGTCTCTTTAAATACAAACAAGGCGCTTCACACCTCRCCCCCCTCCAGCTTCCAGACCAGTCCATTCTAGTTTGATAGAGGGGTTTATATGACTGCGCAGAAGCATTTTATTTACAAACTAGATACCGCATAGCGGTAACATAATAACCCCCGCATGCTCAAATGCACCAGAACTCACAAGTCTTTATTCCTAATAGATGTCATGCTACTAGGTGCATCCCAAAATTGTAGTGGTTTGGGTGGGGGTCTTTTTTCTTTTGGCGGGGGTTGGACCTGATGAATAGCCCCTCATCAGAGCTAAACAGCCAAAGAAATCTGAACCTCCTATGTTTAATAGTTTTTGAGCTATAACCATACCCCTTTTTCAGATAAATTGGGGGTCTGGGGGGTGGGGGGCACTGATTGGTGGGCCTGATGGATAGAGCTTCATCAGAGCTAAACAACAACAAGAAATCTGAAGCTTCTATGTTGAACAGTTTCTGAGTTATAAACATTTTTGCATGTCCAGACACCCYCCTCCCCCTTTGAAAGGAGCCACCTCCTCAAATATGGGGTCTATTGTAAAACCGTTGGCTGGCGCAGTGTAGGTCAGACTCATCTACAGTCCTGCCAAATTTCATATTGACCGGTGCAGCCRTTTTTGTGGTACGGTTGACCAAAAATCACTGAGAAAAAAAATAAACGAAAAGAAAAAAAATAAACAGTGCGAAAACAATATGACTCCTGCTTACGCTTCGTGTGCAGGGGTCATAATAAATTAAAATATGTGAACCAGTGAAGACTTGTCCATCCAGCCTTACATGTTGGAGCCAGAGTCAGAGGAGAGTGAAGACCACCTGTAGTTGGTAAGTCCAGACCTTATTTAGAAGTTCCATCACAAATAACGTGATTTAATAGTTACGAAGGCATCATACAAAATAAAAAAAAACTGAATGGGTTGCAGGGTTTCCCCCAGAAAACCAGCTAAGCCCGGTGGTAGGGCTGCTTTGGCAGCTCACCAGCGGCCCACTATGTTTTTGTTAAAAAAAATGCTAAAATAGACAGGAAATTTGAAAATTTGACTTTAAGCTGGCAGTTATTTAAAATGTACTGCATATTAATATAGTGCATTATTAGTTTTAAAGGGGCAATATCATGTAAAATCAACTTTTTTGAGTTTTATGATGTTATAATCTCATAAAAAAACATGCCCAAAGCCTTGTTTTGACTCATTCATGCATGTTTGAGAAATCCTGCAGCGTTTTTAGGAAGCCATGCTGAGGAGCAAAACGACAGGTGGGGGCCAGAAATGCCCCTGGGACTTGTTTAAGCCGAACTTCCTCATGGCAGAGCACACCCCCTTCCCCCTCCCCACACACCCCACCCATGACTGCTGCAGGCTCTTGGGTCAAAGTGAAACTGAAACCTAACTGTCTGCTGAGCTCTCAACATTAGTTCTCACTCAGTGAAGCTCTTTTCAGATTAAAACTACCTTTGAGGAAATGTATTTTTAGATGCCAAGTAAACCGCATCATAGCGCACACGCAAACCCTGCACGCACGAGCCCCCCCACGTGCGAACAGCCCCCCCCCCAAACGGGACGGATCAGAAGCAGAAGGAGGTTCTTAAAGAGACAGAGGCCAATTACAAGGCGTGTAGAAGAGGAAGTGATGAGAAGATAAGTTTATTTTCTATTTAAACTTAAAAACAGCATTTCAATAACAGCTAAAGGTGGCATAGATACTTTATTATGGTATAGTATTTAAATATATGCCTGAGAAACACATAATGTTGGCCCTTTAAATGAATAAAAACCAAAAACGAAATTTGTTTTTTGAGGTTTACTAAGGAAAAAAATCACAACAAATGCACATTATAAATTGATTTGGCAGTGTTAAAGCCTGGCGGGGAGGCAGGTAAAGCCTGGCGGCCCACCAGGCTTGACCTGCCTCCCAGCCAGGCTTAAAATGCACTGCGGGAAACCCTGGGATGAAAATATGACGTATGATGTAGAATATGAAGAAATCTTTGCAGCATCAGGAGAGWCTAAATTCAACTTTTCTGCCTCCTAGAGACTCCAAGTACACAACAAAATGTATGTAATGGCTAAAAYGTGGATTTTGCATGAWATGTCCCATTTAAAAACTTTACATTCACCATCCCTGTTTGTGTCATTATTAAACATAAAATATTGTTAGTTTATTTGCCTGTTTTGCRTACAATATGTATGCATGTATCAGATCAAAATGTTCTTTGTGACAAGTTGAATTTCTAGTTGGCAGGCTAACTGAGGGGAGACCTGCCTTTCTGTCTGTTTAAAAGTCAAACTGTGAAGAGATCCTATTGTTTGTCTGCTTCCTGCATCTTGACTGGATCAGTTAGCAGAAACCACAACACAACCAGCCCCATCTGAAGCAAAGGTGCTGATGGCTCTTTGACTGGYGTGTATTTGATGCTAAAGCCGCACAAAATGTGCATGAACACGTGTGTGTTTTTATGCATGCAGAGATCCTGTGGAATACATTACTGAATGGAACTCATAAAAACCTTGTTGATTTGTTTGATTTGACAAACTGTTGACACTGTACAAGCATTAAATGCTTGTTATAATTTTTCATTTTGAATGCTGCAACAAAATTATATTATAGATGCATTTAAAAGTAAATGAGTACAGTCTTGGTAATTATTTTTAATTCACACTTATGATGATGTCAAATGATTTTTATTGGGATCATAATGACCTTAAAAGTAACCCCAAATCAATTTATTTTGCAGATGAACTGTTTTAAATTGAGTGTTGTCTCTTTTTAGTGTTGAGCTCTTTGTGTCAAGTTCTCACAAATGCAGAATAGTTTTCAGTGAGCTTATTCAAGGAAACATGGATGCTCTGTTKTTCAGTTTAAGTACAACTAAATAACTTTTAATGCTAAGTTATTGGTGCATTTAAACAAATTAGGAYGTAAGTATAACAACCATTCCTGAAATTTCCTGTTTTTRTTTTATTTTTTGCTATGATCACACAGTTGACATCAGTCAAACGTGAAAGTGTGACAAGTGAATTGTAATACTTTAGTACCGAGATCCAGTGTCAGTCTGTTGATCTGTTTACAGTAGTTTCATTAAAGTAACTCAACCTACTAAAAAGTTTGCTAAGGCCGTCATTGCTTCCACTTTCCTCTGTCCCCTTAAGCTGTGTGACTACGACCACATCACGAACTGCAGCCRTAATTAGGAAACACTCTGTTCTGTTGACATGGGAGTGGAAGCGAACCAAACCGAACAACCCAACAGCTGGTATTCCAGGTTTTGRATATCCCTAAACTCAACCCACTCCATTTATTTTACTGTGGTGTAAACATAATACCTGGCGGCTCGCGATGCTGCCTCACATGTGCCAATTTTACCCTGTGAGTCTTTTCTATTTGTCTTTAACAGGAGGTAGAGGAACAGGAGCGCTTGAGAGAAATGGGTTTTCTTAACTCTGGCAAATTTAACATTCCAGAAGTATTTATTATTCAGTGGCAAATCAGRCTGCTTTTAGCTCTTTCGACAGATTTGGGAAATGTGATCTTAACTGTATAAACAATTGGAATATATATAAATGTATATATATAGTTCTGGGCTAAAGTGCAATGATGATCATTTGTCACCACAAGCCTTTATACTTTGTTTATACTTTATTAAAGCTTATGTAGTGTTATGACATTTTAAAACCAGAAAAGTAGCTGAAAATGTAGATTGTATTTGTAATCTTATGCTATTGTCATGCTTGGTTGAGTTACAGATTGCATCATAATCAGTGGATTAGCACAGAAATTACCCTGATCCCCGGGTCTTCTATTAATTCAAATACAGTATATTTCTGTCTGTCTCGGTGTATTTATTCAGTGTATTTTCTATTGACTTTCAAAAAAATCATTGAGGATGCAACACAAGACAATAAACTAACATCTTCAAAAATCTTAAGACAAAGTAATGGCTTCTGATTAGACATAAAACAAGGATTTTATATGTTGATTGCTGAGCCATCTGAATGAAACAACTGCAGATTAACATGTCTCTGAAGGAATGACATATCAGGTACCAGTTAATAGGATAATTACAAACAAAACTGTCCTTAGATCATCTACAAACTATTTTATTATTGCACCATCACTGATGAATGTTCCCCTTTTATTTTATTAATTRTTTTTCTTCATAGTATTGTTTGTTTGCAAACAATGGAAACATAGAACTGAAAGTTGTCACAAGTCGGTTAATGCAAAAGATGAAGGGGACGGAGCAATACAAGGTTATAATTGGAGTCACAATAAAATGGTTGTGGTAGTCCCATGAATGTCTAATTCCCCTGTCTATTCTAAGAGTTAAGATGTTTAACAAAAAGGTCAACATATGGAGTGTTTTGGTCTCATGGATAAAGGTGTGAATGATTGTGAAGCTAACTGGTTTGGAGAGTCAWGGCTGCATTATAGGTGTTGGATCCTTCTGTTTACAGTACATATCTTCTGTTCAGTGTAAATTGCTTCCTTCATTCCTCTACAGCCATCTGTTTTCTCTCTTCAGAATAGCTTACTGTCACCAAAAGAGAGTTCCTTT